TCCAAGTATTATTGGACATGATAGAGTCCATCTCATCATTCACAGCTTCTCTCCAAAAAGCTACATCCCTTGAAGCCATTGCTTCTTGAAATGTTTTTGGATCTTCTTCAACATTTAATACCATGGGTATTTTTCGAATTATTTCAGTTCTAGTTGCTTCAACTAGGAAGACAATAGATTGAGAAGAGATAAAATCAGGATTAAGAGACTTTTCTCTCCTAATCCTTGTACTTCTTCTTGGTTCAATTGAACCATCATTCTCTTTTCTTTTCTCCTCATGAAGTGTACTTGTACTTGTACCATTATGATTTTCATTCATTGAATTATTCAAAGAATTTCCAGAATCAAACATAGTAGAAGAATCTTTAATAAACTTGTCTTCAAAGAACTCAACATATACAGATTCTACTATAACATTTGACTCCAAATCTAGTAACCTATAGGCCTTAGAATTAATTGCATAACCAACAAATGCACTTTTAATGCCTCTAGGTCCTAGTTTTGTTCTTTGTGGGTCTGGAACCTTATAAAAGGCAAGACACCCCCACACTTTGAGATAATTCAGATTTGGTTTTTTACCATTATTCCAAGTCTCATATGGAGAAACATGAGTTTTCTTTGATGGAATTCTGTTGGTAACATGATTGGCAGTAAGAAGTGCCTCTCCCCAAAGATTAAATGGCAACTTCGAATTTATCAACATGCAATTAACCATGTCAACCAAAGTTCTATTTTTTCTTTCTGCCAAACCATTCTGTTGGGGTGAATAGGGGGCTGTTCTTTGATGTATTATGCCATGTTCTTCACAAAATTGTGAAAAAGCATACGAAAAATACTCCCCTCCCCTATCACTACGAAGAGCTTTAATTCTCTTCTCTTTCTGATTTTCCACAACAGATTTATACTCTTTAAACTTGGCAAAAGCCTCATCTTTTGTTCTCATAAGATACACATATGTAAATCTAGAACAATCATCAATGAATGTAATGAAATATCTTTTACCCCCTCTAGTAAGATGACCATTTAATTCACAAATATCAGAATGCACCAACTCTAACAATTCTGTATGTTTCTCTCTTTTTGGAAAAGGTTTTCTAGTCATCTTACCTTGTACACAAATTTCACACTTATTTGTAAAATCATTTTGACAGGTTAGATATCCATGCTTAGACATATATTTCAATGATTCATAATTTACATGTCCTAGTCTAGCATGCCATAAAGAAGAAGAATGCTCAACAATATAAGCAGAAACATTATTTATTTCATTAATACTCAATTTGAACATTCCATCACAAGAATAACCTTTCCCCACGAAATTGCCATTCTTTAATATAATGGCCTTATCTGATTCTAAGACAACCCTTAAGCCCCTTTTACATAACAAATTTACAGACACCAGATTTTTTCTAATATCAGGTACATGGAAAACATTAACCAAGGTCAATTTGTGGCCTGAAGTGAACTTTAATTCCACTGTGCCTTTGCCTAGAACCTTTGCTGTGACATTGTTTCCCATCAGCACTTCCTCTGGTTCCTTCAAGTCCTCATAAGACTTGAATTGTGTCTTATTATTGCACACATGAACTGTTGCACCAGAATCCAACCACCAATCCATAGATTTGGTTGGATTTTCCATGTTTAATTCAGTCACCATTCCAATTTGCATTTCAGAAACCATGGAAATCAACTCGTGCTCAATCAGATTTGCCTTGTTGCTTGTTTCTGCATGAATGCCAGAACCGAAATTCCTTGCATTCTTCCTGAACTTGCAGTCTTTAATAAAGTGACCTTTCTTACCACAATGAAAACAAGGCTGATTTTTCTTGAAAGAGGCTTTTTTGAAAGGACTGAATTTCTGTTGTTGGGGCTTGAGTTTATTTTGGAAAGGCTTGGCAGAACTTTGACTTACATGATTAACTTTCAATGGAGCCAATATTGTATCCCTTGAACGGTTTTCTGCCTCAATCTGGAGATGTGTTTGAAACTGTTCCATAGTCAGAATTTCATCTGAATGTAGAACCTTTTTCCGGTAATCATTCCAAGATGGAGGAAGTTTTGAAAGTATTGCCCCCACTTGAAGTGAATCTGGAATCTTTATCTCCAACTCTGACATCCTTGATACCAGAATTTGCAACTCGTGCACTTGGTCCATGATGGAAATATCATCCTTCATTAAAAACTCAAAATATTTAAGTGCAAGAAATTTGTCCGTACCTTTCTTTTCATGCTTGTATTTCCTTTCCAAAGCAATCCAGATTTGTTGAGGGGAAGACATATTGCGATACAGATCATAAAGCCTATCGGTGAGAGAATTCAGAATATGTCCACGACATATGAGTTCATCTTCTTCACGCTTCAGTCTTGCGTTCTTCACTCCTTCAGAATCATTCTCTTCTGGCACTGGGATAGGTTGCAGATTAGGATCAAGAACATAGGACACCTTCAGTGTTGTCAGTAAGAATGTCATCTTATCCTTCCATCGCATGTAGTTGGTGCCATCGAACCTATCCAATCTGACTGCGTCTGGATTCAGCAACTTGATATTGGCGTTTAAAGGAAGAGCCATAAGGATAAT